GACCCTATGTGATTCACATCCTTCCTTCTTTCTCCCTATATATACATGGGGGACACAAAGATTAAATAAATGTATTTAATCCTTATTTAAAAATAAGGCAAAAAAAAAAAAATCCTAGTTCTCTTTTCACTTCATTTCTGTAATTACAAAATATGATCGACAAAGTCCTTCCCATTCAAACATTCCAGTTCTAAGGAAGATTAATATATCAAATTATTTTTCAACTTATACTTTTATTGTTTCAAGTAATGCATTGAATTTTATCCAAGCACAGCCAGAAGAGTTACAGGAAGTTAAAGCGGATGAACTTGAAATATCTATTTAAAGCAAATACTTTCAAAAGAAATTCATAAGGATTACTAGGAAATTCCTTCACCGGTGTTTACTTCAACAAGCGCTCACTTTTTGAGCCAATGAAGACAGCCATCTATTTGAATTGCTATTTCTGTCAGATCTTCAGCATACAGTGAATCACTGCCTGGTGCCAGTCAGTGTTGCCATGCACACTCTTCAGAACATGAAAGTGTTCATCTCTAGGTAAGCATCAGAAGAATCAAACATATAACAAATAATGAAGATAAATAAGTCTATAAAGCATACTCAACGAAAAAGAAAACCCAAACAAAACCGAAGAAAATCAGAACCTCTAGCACTATTAGACACAGTTTCCAGGTTACACAAAAATAAACAGGGATATGAGGGGTTTTGTCATTGGGTTTTGGTTTTTTTTTAATTTGATAGGTCAGTTTTAAACTAAGCTGTTTTGATGAGCAATTCCATGCAGAAGTGATGCAAAGAGCATGTGGGCGGCAGCTATTAAATTTCAAAGAACTATAGGATATACCCCATGCAAGTCCCATTCCCACACAATACTAAGGTAGCAGCAGCAGGTTATAAGAATTTGAGTTGTGCAGAGCTCTCATCTGCTCAGTCAACTCAGTGAAGGTATTTTCAAGTAGATCATTCAATTTAACCATGTAAAGAAGAAACTTGGCAGTTAAGGACAAAATTAAGAGCCATGAAAAATTTTAATGAAAACATGGAGCCGATTTCAGACCATGAGCTCTGCTTATTTACGTGTTATAGTTCTATTTTAACTCTGTGTTTACCTTTTTAGCATACACATATGAAATAAGCTGCGTTCTTGAAGAAAAAGTGTTCACCTCTGCAAACAGACAAGAAAAGTCTATTACACAAGCAAAACCTCAAAGGTTTTAACTGACTAGGAAGGCCATCTAGCAGCCAGACCATATGCTTTGCTATTAAGAAAAACTGACCAAATCCTCCTCCCCAAAAAATCCCACAGAAAATCAGAGCAACAACTTAATAACCAATTCAACAAGAGGTGAAACACCCTTCTGCATAGAGCCACAACAGTATTCCTGATAGCAGAAAAGAGTTTCCATCTAAAGGAAAACAGCATTCTTGCTTTCAGTACTATTAACAGTTTGTAATGCTTTGCCTGCCAAAGTAGAAGTTCTCCACATTTTTATCTCCAGTATAAATAGTTCAGTCTTGCAGCTCCTTAAGAAGAACCCAGTCAGGTTCCTAACAATACTTGGTTTAAGTTGCCCAAATCATTTCTATAGCTCTTCACACAAGACAGAGTATTTCCAAATCATTCCCAAATCCAATCTTGGCTACTGGAACAGTTAGTTGACAACTACTGAAATATGTTCCCAAATACAGCCACTCATTAGCCTTGGTGCTTATTTTTAAAAGGGGAGGATAAGACTTCTATACATATTGTGGAAATTACGCTTAAAATCTATCCAATTTTCATCTATACAAAAACTTTGCAAAATTTTAAAAGGTTGAGGGGTTTTTTTTTGCATTTAACATACATCTGATAAGACAATAAAAATTGCTACTAGAACACTACTCGTTTTTTTCAGTCTTTGTGTTAAGGCTACAGAATAAAAGGATCTCATCTTTCTCCATCTTGCATTTATGCTTGGCTGAATAAGAATATCCTTAATAATTTTCATCTCTCAATTGCTTTAACTTCAAATAAGTTTCTTATTTACACTAACTGTAGAGCAAAAACACAGAAAATTTGTGTTTGCATATGCAGAACAGTTTGCAGCTATTAATACCTCAAGTTCTGAATCCAGGTATTTTTAGTGCTGTGCCCACTGTCCTTTGGCAGCTACCTATGTACCAGCCATTTTTATTCAAGTGACATAAATAAATTACAAATTTCTAACTGAGAAGTTATATCAGACAGCTTACAGCTGTCCAGATGCCCTCACGCCTTCAAAGAACTGTAATTAGTGGCAGGCTTCCAATCATTAAAAATTGATAGCATTTCTTTGTGAAACCCTAAGAAGATTGTTAGACATTGTTATTTCAGTCTTGTGATTTGAGGATGACTAATTTTAGATTGTTGCTTCAAATTCTCTTATGCACAGAAAAAAAACACCTTTATCCACATCAAGTATGCTCTCCATAGACCAAGACATCTGTGATCAACTCACAGGCAGACAGCAATAAAAAAAAGAGAAAAAAAAAAAGACCAAAACAAAACAAACTTACATTTACCCTGATGGAGGGCCTGCGGAAACAAACAAAAGCAAAAAAAAACAGCCTAATTCACATTTTCAAAAATCATTTCAGCTTATGAATGTTCTCATTTCTGGAGAAACAAAGACACTTACAAAACCTTGCCAGTAACTCAGGATGACAGTAATTTGCCTTTACCATTTTGTATTTCACTGAAAACATAACTTTTAAATAATATCTAACCTAATTTTTACAACAATCAAAGCTGTAGGCTCAATAGCAGTCAAACCTGTCTATCAACTGTCAGGACATTCAGCATTATTAAACACCTGACTGACAAATTAAGAGCCTCAATTAACATGTTGAATTAATTAGTTCACTCTGATGAACAAGACTAACTTGTCTCTTAATCTGAGATTTCAAAGTTCAAACCATCAAGTTTCCCGTCCTTTGTCAAACGTCCCACTGTTTATCAAAGCCACAGCAAGAAACAAAGGACAAGGGGAGCAAGGCATTGCTGTCCTGACTTTGGCTAAGAGGGGAAGGGAACTTAGTGAGGACTAGAATTCCCAAATCCCAAGGAAAGGGATGGCCAGGCAGCACCTCCACAGGGAGCAGACCAGTTACAAGCAAGGTTTGTTCACTCAAATTCAAATCTCTTTACATTACCGTGTTCAAGCAGCAAACTTACATGACCATAGGTACAGTACAAAGAATTGTGACTGCAACAAAATAACACAGAACCATGGAACAGTTGAGCTTAGGAAGGACCTCTGGAGATCATACGGTCCAACACACTGCTCAAGCAGGGCCACTAACAGCCCGCTGCCCAGGACCATATCCAGCCATTCCTTCAGTAAAAAGTACAGGCATAAAGGGATACCAAGAGGCATTACCCCTTTTGGGATACTGTGGCAATGGAAGGAGCAAACCTTGTACAGTCTTGCCTGTATCACCTATTAGAAATGGCTTCGGGAGCATCACACACAGCATCCAAGTATTGTCCACAAACTGAAGTAACAAATTACTCCATTTGTTAGATAATTTATTTTCCTCCACTAAAAGAGCTTTCTAGTGTTATCCCATGGTATGTTAATTCATACTGTGATAAAGCAACATAAGCCAAGCAGCCAAATCCAGGTTTTACCCTCCCAACTGCACAGTAACTAAGAGTAACAGAGAACATACATACACAGTTGTGCATAGTACAGCAAACATTTATGCAGTCAGGCCATACAGTTAAACCAGCTGGCATGAAATGAGAGGATCAGGAACTACAGAGTTCCCCTGCTCCAACGCAGGAATATTAAAGACACATGCCTACTTGCCTCTCCCTATTAGGGAAGTAAATCACCATTAGATTTCCTTTTAAAAACCTATGTAATTTGTTATGACAAAAAAAACAAAGTATTCCTGCCTGGTACCTCCCTTTTCAGCACTTAACCACATTGGTAATTTCTTTTAAAATGTTAAGCTACATAAGTTGTAACTTAAATTGCTACATATCTGAAGAGAAATTGACAAGAAAAAGTTCCTTAAAACAATTAAAAACTAATGAAATTAGAATATAAACCAGCCATACAACCCAATGAAGTTCTCACATCTGCAGTAGTTTGAATACCTCAGGCTCTGTAGAAAAATCCCAAAATAAGAGGCCAATATGGGATACTTCAAAAGACACTAAAATTATATTCAGTAACACAGTATAAACAAGCAGAATGTTCTAATAGGCAGGATCATGAACTAAGGCCACCCTGGCTTTGCACTTCCTGTGTAAAGCAATTTTCCTTTTTGGTACTTTTATCAGCATCTTTCCTGACAGCCTGCAGGAACCCGCTGAAGCAAGGATTTGCTATTTTACTAAACATTTATGCAGGAATTAACACAGTGGGAACCTAATTTGGTTCTGAGCTCTAGACTAGTGGAATAATAAAGCATATGCATTCAGTAATAAGATAAATGTCTTTCCTGCTTTTAAGAATGACTGAAGAAGAGAAACAAGTGCAATTCTACATGGATTCAGATACAGCTAATCTAATCACACATTCAAGCATACCTAAAATAATAGCCTACATATGTAATTTTACAAAGAGTATCTAAAAAATAAAAATAAAAATCTCAAATTCTTTTTCCTTCAGACATCTTCCTTCTACCGGCACTGGCTGTTATCAGATTATATTTGTACAGTCAATTCATCTGTGAGACATACAATTAGGTATGATAAAGTAACGAAAAAACAAATCAGAATGCTGAGAACACAAAAGAAATCTCAGTGGGATATTACCAACTGTAACAAGCTTTGGATATTCCAAAAAGCTGACAAAAATACCCAAATAAGTCATTTTCTGTCCTGGAAATAAAACCATGGTTAGCAGAATTAAAATACTAGAATACTGTGATACAACCAGAAATACAGCATACGTGCACAGTGACAAAAAGAACCTTAACAGTAGCATTCCTGTAAAATCATATTAAAAACTTTAAGAATAGAAACTTACTTGTGCATATTCTCCACTCCTATTATGATCATGATATAGTAGGAAATTCCACTTTGTATAACAAAATGTAAGGCATACCTAGGAGAAGAAAAAAAAAACCCAACAAACCAAATAGTAAACCCTCACAGCACTTTCATTAATGAAAATAAACTGCATGCATTTATTTATTTAATGTGACATTAAAGAGGTTCAAATTTTAACTCCATCACTGTTTCCAAAAACCCCTTCTGATCTACTTAAGTTTCCTGGAGCCCTCCCTCTCTTGAGGGCTTCTGTCTTCAGCAGAGCACCAACAGCAGTAATGAACAAAAACTACAGATTTAGCTAGATTTATCCAGCTCATAAACAAGAATATAGTAAATGCAGTTAATTCTTAAATTGCAAAGTAGATGTCTGATAAAACTTTCACTTGGTATTATTTCATCCATTTTGTAGTTCAATTCCCATACTCATCTTTTTTTTGCAAATACAGGTATCTTGGATAAACATCAGTTTGCAAATACAGGTATCTTGGATAAAGCAAACAGTATCTTCATATCCACAATATAAGCATATGGGAAGACTTCCTAGTCAATAGAAATGGTAACTCTGTCCACCCAGCCTCTTTGCCCCAAGTTCTCAATAATCAATAAAAGGATGGTGGTGATGATGGTCTCAAAAACACAAACAAAAAACCCTACAACACCAACAACCCACAGATGTATTTCACAAAGGTACTCTAACCTCATCTCCTTATTTGTTTTCCATAGCTTAACACCACAGCTACCAACAGGCTAAGAAAGTTGGGGCTGCTTAGTCTGGAGAAGAGAAGGCTGCATGGAGACCTCATAGCAGCCTTCCAGTATCTGAAGGGGGCCTACAAGGATACCAGAGAGGGACTCTTCATTAGGGCCTATAGTGATAGGACAAGAGGTAAGGGATTCAAGCTTAAATAGGGGAAGTTTAGATTAGATATGAGGAAAAAATTCTTTACTGTGAGGGTGGTGAGGCACTGGAATAGATTGCCCAAAGAAGTGGTAAATGCTCCATCCTTGGCAGTGTTCAAGGCCAGGTTGGACAGAGCCTTGGGCAACATGGTCTACAGTGAGGCATCTCTGACTATGGCAGGGGGGGTGGAACTTGATCTTAAGGTCCTTTCCAACCTTAAACATTCTATGATTCTATGATTCAGTAAGCTGGTAGAGCACTGGTGGCAAACCACTACCAGTGATAGAGGAACAGTATCTGATCTTCAGTATGACTCTCTTTCACTTTAGTACTTTAACTGTCTCAGTATCTCTTAGATATGCTCAAGTAACACACTGATCTAGTTTTGGTACTTTTTCCGTAATAACCAGCCTAAAAAGCAACTACTATTTTGCTATACTGATAATGTTTTCTTTCAGCTTATCAACAATTTTCTGATTTTAATCCTCACCTATTCACAAGAAAATGTCTTCAAAGACTTTCAACAAGAAACCCAGCTCTATCCAGCTAAACTCCTACAAAGTCTTTGTACAATGAACTAAGGGAGAACAGTTCACTTGGACATTAACTGACCTTGCGAATCTTGACTTTTTAATGGAAGATCCAATCTGCACATGCAACCATGCTTCACTACTAGCTAGTCTCATCTAAGATATGACTACCTAAAATTCAGACGCACGTTTAATATAAGCAACTGCCAATTAAAAAAATATTTATCTTTTCGTATCAGCCATGTATTGGCAACGTTATGTGGCAAAGGCAGGCATTAGTGAAATGGCAAAAATTTATGTTTAAGAGGTTTGCTTCTTAAATGGAGGGAGGAACATAATATTTCAAAGCCTGAAAAAGTGTGGGCTGATGTGGAATACCATACCAAGTTTACAGTCTCTGAAAATATTCGTCTTTCAAAGTTGTTAATGGTAGCAATATGATTGATCTCCAATTCAAAAAAAAAAGGGATGCATAGAAACAACATGAAATAGTAAATTTTAGCTATACACAAACGGTATTCTAAGCCTTTTATACTACTTGCTATTATCCCAATGAACTATCCCTTCTTTTTTGGTTCCACCATCACAAGCACTACAAAGGTGACTGAAAAGTAACACAACTGAAACTGAAGAAGACAACATAATGACTAATAAAAGGGTGCAGATTTCAAACTACTACCTACATTTGGATGACATGATCTGCAAATCTACTTTTACTACAAACTCTTACTATATAAAACAAACCAGTAACAGTTTCCCTCTTGTACTCACACATTATAACACAGCTGAAGAGTCACTGAAGGTGTACCACAGGACTGTAACCTGTATGTGTAGTTGACTACTTGTATCTCAAATTATGTTGCTCTACATTTTTAAAAAGCTTTTAATACCATGATTCTAAAAAAAATACCCAAACTTTTAGTAATATAGATAATATAGAAATTCATTGCAAAAATAGTTGCTTTAACTATGATCCAAATCAAACTAGAATAATCTGGATTTCTACTATGACATAAAATATCTCTCAGATTTCTTTTCCAGGGCACTCCGCCAATGACAGGCTTCTACAAATCTTTATTTATATCTGTTGGGGGTGGAGGTTTTTTCTTTCCAACGTCTCCCATCCCCAAATTTCAGATATGAATATGTTGTTAACATTTTCTAATCACAAGTTACAATTAATGATTTCTGTTTCCAAAGCAATGGATACAGAATGTGCTTCTACAGTTTACACAGCTGTCACAAAAACCACACTCACTAGCACCTATCTCCCATATCATCCTCCTCATTTGGTGCTAAAACTGGCAGTCTTTGACATCAAATTGCTCCCTCAAAGCAGAATACCACAGCCAAAAGTTTAAGAAATACATGGGAGTTAATGGAATTATATAAACAAGTAAATTGCACATGTAAATCCACCTGCACAACAGCTTAATTCCCCCTAGCTCAGTAATACTCTGCAATAGTATAAATAAGTCTTCTGTACACTTGAAGCTGAGCAAGCACTTTGTTTACAAAACTGGCAATTAATCTTAAACCAGCTTGGGGAGATCAGAGCTATTTAGTAAGGTAATTTTTACGGAAAAAAGAAATTCACCAAAATAAATGCATGCCCTTCCCCACAGACCTTTTACTAGCCCTACCAATACTCTGGCTTGCTACACCATCAAAAGATCGAGATGTAAAAACAGAAAACCTGTGTTTAAAAAAAAAAAACCCAAAACAACAAAACCACCACACCCTCCCTCTAAAACATAAAAGAAAAAACCCACACAGAAACAACTCTCAAATCTAAGCCAGCTCCTTTCCAGGTGTTTTATATTACTAGGAGCATCATAGGTACTGCAGTTCTGGCAACTCGTCCTACACAAATCAGATTATGTTCAGTATTCAGAAAAAGACACAGTGAGTGTGTCTCATGCAGTGAATATTTAAGAGACATTATCTTAGTCATCACACCTGTGCCTCAAGAGAATACTTCTCAAGCAAGTTTACAGAAAAACCGGCACAAATTAAACAAATTGCACCCACTCCATCCTCCCGAAACCACAGGCAGACAGTATGTTAGTTACGGGTTTGCAAAAGGAACACTTTTCAATATTTGTGCACCACATCAGGAAATTGTATCTAATTTCTGTACATTTGCAGCAGCTAAACCCCACAAAATTAGGAAATCATGTTCTTCGTAACAAAACTTTGCTTCCCTGCAAACGAGAAACGAAAATTTACAAGTCTCTCAAAATGGAATTGAATTGCAACTTACCATCCAAAACAAAAAAGTGCAAGATAAAGGCCCAAGAGGGTTGCAACAACATGTCTTATAAATGGGCTAGTTTTGCTTGAATGAAGGTATGTTCGAAACCAAACAGCCGCAAGCAAGGCAAACAGTTGGCACACTACAAAGTTGACCTGCATAAGAGAGAAAAGAAAAATGTTTCTCACACACTTGTGTATAAAATTGAATAAACAGATCTGCACACTATAAGCAATTTGCAGAACCTTTGCCTATGCAGTGGCTCTTACCACACAGCACAGCATGTCAGCCTCAAAGAGCTTCTCCTGGGATTCCTTCCCCCCTAAAGCACAGACGTGTGCTCCCCTGAGCAGCTAAGAAGAAATGATACATCAAACGTGTAGAGGCAATCTGTGTATGAATCAACAGAAACAAACAAAAGAAGTATTTTCCTACAAATTTTCTGTATACCAAACCACTCTACCAACCATGGAATCATTTCTACTCTCCCAGTAATGTGAAGATCTGAGTTGGGTTTTTATTTAGTAGTTTGCCATTCTTTGTTTGGTTGGTTTTTTTAAGTCAGCATGACTTTGAAACAGGTATCAGCTACACAAATCACTGGCACATCACTTCAGTGGCCTGTGCAGAAGCAGGGCTCAACAAAGTGCACTTCAGCGGTACATCATCAGACAAACAGCTTGCTTACACATTCAAGTAGGATAGTTTCAGAAATTCCTCCTCCCTTCAGACCATTTATTCTAGAAGATAGAAAATCTCTTGTATACTAAATATTTAAAGACATTAGGGCACTGGAAGCAAAAGTAGAATTAAAACTAAAAACCAACCTCACCAGTGAGTAAAAGGAATCACTCTGTGGCCTAAAATAAATTTAACAGGAAGAGCATGATAAAGAAATAATTTTCTCAAATACAGCAACCGCTATCTAAACTGGCTTAAGCTACAAAAAGCCAGATGAATTTCTTTATTTAGAAAAGAAAATCTCCCCCCTCCATGGATTTTTATCTTACATAGAAAACTGTCTAACAAATTTCTGTGTCTAATAGCAGCATCACATGTCATCACAAGTAACAGCTTGGGGACCACTGCTTCAGGTCATAAGCACTTCAGTATAAGAAGCTTGCACATGCTTGACTAGCTCTTAGCACAGCGTTTATGCCTGTTTGATGTCACTTAGCTGAAACATATACTTAATCTTAGTACCACAGGGTACAATGGCAATACTGACATGCTCATGACAGCAGACAACATGAATGGTTGCAGCAACATGGTAGACACCTCCAGTACTATAATTCAGCTAGTCCATTCCTTCATCATTTTTCAGCCAAGCTTCAGGCAACATCAGGTAAGGGTTAAGGGTGAGAGTATGCAAACATGGTTATATTTAAAGTAGAAGCTAAATAATACCAACCACCTACAGAAGTCTCATATTTGTAATCATAGCATAGATTCCCCATTTGCAAATCAAAGGATAGTTTCCCTTGTTCTGAACCGTCCATTAGGCCAAGTTACACAAGCATTAGGCGCTACCAGGGAAAGAGGAGGCTCAGAAGGCAGGGCTGTGGTTTTTAACAGGATCAGTTCCCTAAACTAAACCATACACTTTGCTATCCATTCTCTTACTCCCACATTTCCATTATACTTTTAACTGTGTTTGAAAAATCCTAAACAAATGAGGCAATATTCTTCCAGGGCATAACTTGACCTGTTTTCTCTCCTTTATGAGCAATGATGCAAATGAAACAGAGCAAGGTTTGTAACTTGAGTGGATTTAGTGGGAAAGTCTCATATGAAACAGTCAAGTTTAATGAATCACTGAAACGGAAAATAACTAATAATGTTTTTAAAAAAAGAGGTCAAGAAAGAAAAAGTGAAAGCCAAAATAATTAACTATGCATTCTGCATCGACATTTGTTTTGGATAGTTATTACAGAAATTATGCTATGTATACCCCAGAGCATGTTTCTGACCTAAGGAACTCACACCCTAGACAGACTAGAAGGGGGAGGGAAACCAAGGTTAAAAACTGGGACAGATATGCAGTAAAGCTGAGGTTAAGAAATAGAGGGCAGAAATGGGCATGAAGACCTGTCCATAAGCAGACAAGCTAGCATTCACTAAAACCAGCAATGTCCAGACATCACTTCTTTGCCTGCATTACAGACCATTTACCAATTGATGTCTCATGATGCCCTTTTCCATGAGCCCTCAAAGCAAACTGGCAAGACCCAGGAAAGAAGAAAACTCATCACCTCAGTCCTACTGAGGCAAAGGGTAGAAGCACTTGGCATCTCTGATCTGTATCATCATCTCTACAGGAGCAGACACAAGCAAAACAACAAATCCCGAATTCCAAAATTCAGGATGAGCCTGCAGGCTTAGGAATGTGGAAAATCCTCATATAAAACGTATTATGAGAATACCTTTAGACCAGCCCCACAAGCAAAACTTCCAGAGACATCAATTCATGATGTCACTGTTTTGAACACATGACTAAATGACTGAAGCAGCACAATCTTGCTCTGAAAGCCTTCCTTGTGACTCCAAAACCACCAGTGGGTATTTTTAAACTGCTCCTCCCAAAAACTGCACAAACATGCGTGTAATTGGAAACATAAAAGACATCACCACAATGTTCACACACCACCCTGCATTCCTTCTCTACTCCTACCAATGCAATCCTTATACTTGTCTCACAGCACACTGAAATGTGGATTACAAAGCACCAACGGTTTTGCAGACTTGTATCACATCAAATCCTCACAAAGCTTTAAATACAGCTATGTAAAACCAAGCAATGCAGCACTTCAGATCTGAAAGACATGCAACTTTATTTTAGCCTTTATACATACCTACTTCTGATGATATTCTTTCTGCTGCTTTATTCCATTTTCCCCAGCAGGATTTCTGATTCATTCAGCAAATGGACAATTGCCCAGTTTTTACTTTCACCCTATGACCCATTAAATACTTACCAGCTGCATCCTACACTGAATACAAAACCCTTACATTTCCCCATAGACATGTTTATGCAGATCTGCCCATAGCGTGGGAAGACTACATACAATAAGTGTAAACTTCGCAAGATCGGTATTCCCATTCCTGTTCTAAAGGTGGGTGTCTGGCATGCAATGATGAAAGTCCAAAGGGTAAAAAAAATGCCCACTAACTTTGGATGCCAAATCTCAGACACTTTAGTGCCTTGTTTTTCAATCAGTACTTTCAATACAACTTTAACTTGGACTGTGCTTTGAAAATGCAACTTCAGCTGCTATTCTAAATAACCAGCATGGCTATAAATCAGGCCCAAGGTATCTCAAAATGAAAGCAAATTTATCATCACTCGGACATATTTTCATTATATTGTTTCTCTAGGTCACTCCAGATCTGGTTTACTAGTGATTTATATTCTGAATAAGGGAAGGAGCTCATGTGGACGAGTTTGTGACTACTACTAGGCCATGTTACAGTCACAGAGGTAATCTCTATCTGACACTTTGATTTTTGAGCATCTGCTATCCCAGGCGATATATTCACTCGGTAAACATTTTGAATATCTGATTTCTTATATTTTAGAAAGAAATGAAAACCACAGCATTTCCACCATGAATTCAAAACTTCTCAGTGTGCAGTTACCTGTGACTTGCAGTCCAAAGCACAGATTTCTACCACTTCAGCTATTTGAAAAATATACTCACTTCCACACAGAAGTAAGTTTAATCCCATGCCAATACTATAGTGGTAGAAAGAGGAACAGGCTCTGTGGGCTCTCAGATTCTGTCCCAGGCACTTCCAACTCCAGCAGCCAGACAACGCATACATCTACATCGTGGTTTAGTTCAGATTAGGAGAGGGTTTCTGAAGCAAACCTGCCATTGTCCTTACTTCAGATCCTTTGGCATGCATTGCACAGTGGTGTCCAAATACATAAACCTGGTTTCTTTCAGGCTAAACTAAACTAGAAGATCCACTCCAAAGGTAAGAGGACATTTAGCCTATGGACTCACCTAGGCAAAAGCAGTATTTCCCCAAATTATTATAGCATCAACACTGGATCCTCAGTGCCCGCCACTTCATTCCACAGAAACACTCCTCCTGTACTGCAGTACTTGATGAATTGAACAAAGCCAGAATTTAAGATTCAGCCTTTTCCTAATTACATCTCCCATCTTTATCCACACAGATCAGTACAGAGCTGACACAGCTCCACACTGAGATGCATGAAGAACTGAAGATACACACTTTGCCTTGAAATAGAGCACAAAAATTACCCAGCTTCCTAGAAAGCAAAGAGCCATTGAAAGAGCAAGTGAGCAGGAACAAGGCCAGAACTGGACATGGCCATCTTGAAAGCTTCCACAAAAGCACTGAAGCAAGTGGTTATTTTGTTGGCAAACATTATATACAGCAACTTTAACATCTGGGAGTGGTATACTTGCATACCCTTGGAAAACTTACGTCAAGCTCTTAAAACATTGTGAGTATGGGCAAAATACAACTTTTAAACACCTCGTAACTTGGTCAGATGTGAGCAGAACACCCACAAAGAACAAAGACTACACATTCCCCAAAGATGCATGATTCATTCCTCAAAACAAAGTGTAACGTACCTCCCCAGAGTCATAAAACCTGTTCCAATAAGCAGCTCCAGTTTTATAGTCAAAATTAAAAATAAAAACAAACAACAAGAAAGATCCCAAAAAACCGATCCACTTGGAGCTGAGACTTTCTAGTGGAAAACAAAATCTGAGAGGCATGGAATGACCAGTTTCATCCTGAGTAGTCATAATTTAGCACGTGTAAGAATCTTAAACACAGAGTTTTTTACCTGTCCTCAGATACAGGTCATAACAACAGCTTATAAGAGTAACACCTCAAAGTTATATATAGAGAAGGGTGTGTAATGCAAAGTTATGTGCACATAAGAATAAAAGTTTTACAGTGATAATGCAAATGATCATCGCTACTTATTCAGCAATGATTAATGTAGGTGTGGGTTAAATACCACTTTGACACATTAAGCTACTACAAAACCTGCTGTATGTATTCTAGCAATTTAAAAGTTCAGTCCACTATTTTAGTGCAAAACCAGTCATACGGCAAGTGCAGTTCACAGGCACACTTTGTGCCAAATGTAACACTAAAACATGAGCGC